TTGGTGAGAAGAATCCAATCGGACCAGGCAGAACTACTAAGAGATCTAGACAGGCTGCAGACCTGGTCCAGCAATTGGCCTCTGGAGCTGAACCCCACCAAGTGCAAAGTCATGAAGATTTGGGAAGGGCAAAGAAGACCGCAGACGGAGTACACTCTAGGGGGCCAGAGACTACAAACCTCACTCAACGAAAAAGATCTTGGGTGTGTATAACACCGGGCACATCTCCTGACGCACATCAACCAAATAACTGCTGCAGCATATGGGCGCCTAGAAAACTTAAGAACAGCCTTCTGACATCCTAATAAGGAATCGTTCGGAACCCTGTACACTGTGTACGTGTACCTACACCTAGCCAAGCACAAAAGGAAACTAAAGAAGGTGCAAAGGTTTGCAACGAGAATAGTCCCGGAGCTAAGGGAAAAATGTCTTACGAGGAGGGGTTAAGTGAAATTGACCTGAGGACACTGGAGCACAGGAGAGATAGGGAGGACATGATAACGACACATAAAATACTGAGAGGAATTGACAAGGTGGACAGAGACAGAATGTTCCAGAGATGGGACGTAGTAGCAAGGGGTCACAGTTGGAAGATGAAGACTCAGATGAATCACAGGACTGTTAGGAAGTATTTCTTCAGTCACAGAGTTGTCAGGAAATGGAATAGTTTGGGAAGCAATATAGTGGAGGCAGGATCCATACATAGCTTTAAGAAGAGGTATGATAAAGCTCATGGAGCAGGAAGAGCGATCCAGTATCGCCCAGTGAAGAGGCGGAACCAGGAGCTGTGACTCGACCCCTGCAACTACAACTAGGTGAGTACACACACACACACACATGCACAAACACATGCACAAACGCACACACTGTTAATGGTATTAAAACGTACACAAGTCTTAGAAGCACATACAAGCAAATTTTTCTAGTTCGCTCTTCTACATAGAGAGGAAAGTGAAGTTGGAGAAGCTGTTCCATAGTCCTGGAGCTCAGACACCATGGAACTGAATATTATTGATAATAATAATATAATAATAATAATTGTTACTATTACTATTATTTAATAATAATAATAATAATAGTGTTATAATAATTACCATTATTATTTATTATTTCATTATTATTGCCAGTTTTTATATTATACAAAATAATTATTTATTATTTTATTATTATTGTTATTTTTGCAGAATAAAAAATATTTATTTATATATTATCATCTATTTATTATTATTGTTGCTGAGGAAGGGTTGTTGAGGTGGTTCGGACATGTAGAGAGAATGGAGCGAAACAGAATGACTTCAAGAGTGTATCAGTCTGTAGTGGAAGGAAGGCGGGGTAGGGGTCGGCCTAGGAAAGGTTGGAAGGAGGGGGTAAAGGAGGTTTTGTGTGCGAGGGGCTTGGACTTCCAGCGGGCATGCGTGAGAGTGTTTGATAGGAGTGAATGGAGACAAATGGTTTTTAATACTTGACGTGCTGTTGGAGTGTGAGCAAAGTAACATTTATGAAGGGGTTCAGGGAAACCGGCAGGCCGGACTTGAGTCCTGGAGATGGGAAGTACAGTGCCTGCACTCTGAAGGAGGGGTGTTAATGTTGCAGTTTAAAAACTGTAGTGTAAAGCACCCTTCTGGCAAGACAGTGATGGAGTGAATGATGGTGAAAGTTTTTCTTTTTCGGGCCACCCTGCCTAACACTGATTACACATATGCCGTCCTGATTACACATATGTATCTCTCTTATGTATTTGCCGAGTTAAACACCATTTGTATCCCACTCCAGCCAGTGCCTGAGGCAGGGGAGAGAGGGAGTGAGGAGGCAGCTAGCATGACCCTTATACTCTGCCTAAGTAGCTAGTGGTTCCACGCATCTCATCTTCCCAACTTACGACGCATTTACCTAAATAAGCGAACGTTTAATGGGTTAAATTACAAGGAGAAGCAGAGGATATCACCTCGTAGAGATTTTTGCAGCGAGAGTGTGCCTGTGAGTCTGTGTTGATAAGCTGTAGTGAGTTATATGTTAATAGGCTGTAATGCCAATGTTGGTAAGTCTGTAATGAGTTCTATGTTAGTAGGCTGTAGTGAGTTGTATGTTGATAGGCTGAGTGAGTTATAAGCTGATAGGCTATAGATGTGAATTGATAAGCTAATAAAATAATTGTGTTTTGATAGGCTGTTGTGAAGGTAGTGAAATGATGGGCTAATCGAAGCCTAATGTAAGAAGTTTTGCTTACCTTTATTCACTGATCAAGCTGCCTTTGTACAGTCATTGCTTTGTTATGGTCGTAGTCCTGTGTGGATCTATTTCCTCTCGGTGTACATGCTAATCTTTTTCCATAAGAGCGGAGGGAGAGAGAGAGGGTTCGGTGTGGCTGAGGTGTTTTAGGTAATTAGTCCGTCCAGGGTCATGTTTGCTGTATGAAAATTAGTATATAGATGGATCCTGGGGAATTGGAGGATTGGGCAGAATCAGATATCACAGTATAAGTAATATTCGTGCACATTTGAACGTTTCCTGACGTGTAGTAGTCGTTTATTTTTTAATTTTCATACTTGTGATTAAATACGTTTTTATATGTGTAGACAAATGGTTCAGAGAACCAACAGTTGATAAATTAGACACGTGTAGCACTTGGCTATCTTTCTTGTGGAAAAGTTTCGCCACAATGGTTTCATCAGTACATTACAAAGAAGAGTTGTGAAAATCAGAAGGATCTTCACCACTCTTCTTTCTACTTTCAAGTGTTGCACATGTGTCTAATTTATTGACGTTTTTTGTGAATATTCATAAGTTAACAGTGAGGTAAAACATCGATGTTCAGATTCTCGTAAAAAAATAGCGTAGTATAATGAGGATAGTTTGCAGTGCATGGTAATGGATCTGAAGGGTGGGATAATTAACTATCCACTGACAATTTGTTTGATGACGAGAGCTGGGTCAGAGGGAGAGAGAGAGATGGACCAAGTGTTAGAATTTGTTGTGCTAGGACTACCACAGCACCCTTCCCCCCTGGCATCTCCCTCTGCATCCTCGAAAAATTAGAGTTCAGTTCACGTTTCCTTTCATCCCAGCCCATGTGTCGATCTAAAAAACATTTTTCCATTCAACAGATTCCCTCTTTTGTTATTTTTTTGGCAGCAACATTTCATCCTGCGTGTTGTCATTCATGAAAAGTCACTAGAAATTCCGATTTTTCTTGTCCAAACATTGTTATGTACTGAAGTATAGTGTCCTGTCTCTCTCTCTTACTGTCCTTGGATGTATTTATCTTTCGTTTTTGCCTCTCGTTAGCATTTGCTTCTTACTCTCCTAAACAAAATTTATTATAGTATATACGTGTGTGCGTGTGTGTACTCACCTAATTGTACTCAACTAATTGTGGTTGCAGGGGTCGAGACTCAGCTCCTGGTGTATGTGTGTGTTGTGTGTGTGTGTGTGTGTGTGTGTGTGAGCCGGGCAACAGAGCAACAGACTGGGGGATTCGTGGCTCGTGCATCACAATTTACGAACACGGTGTTGCTTTTCTTCCTGCCAGCCCTTTCGCATACCTTTATTCCCTATTTCCGCCTTCCCTACCTCCTCTGCTCTCTTCATCTCTTCCTTCCTTCCTTCCATTCAGTCTCCCTCCCTGTCTATCACCATTTATCACTTTCCTCTGAAAATTCGCATCTTCATCTCTCATCTTCAACTCTCATTCCATCCACTTCTTTTTAACTCGTGTCACCGCCTACTTCCTCTCGCCTTCCTTTTTCTTCTGAGTTCTTTTTCTTACTTGTTATCCTGAATCCTTATCATTTTCTCTATACTTCTTTCAGCGGGAAACCTTGTCAAACCTCTGCAGTCCTGACTCCTCAAACGGCCTGCCTGGATAACAATGAAGGGATCTTGATCAAAGGAATTGGAACTACTTTTCTCTTCCTTGGACCAAACCTGATTATTTCCTGTTCCCCATAAGATATATGACCCATATGGGCTATAGCGCTTCCTCATGAATATACTGACCAAAACTGTGACCTTTTTCACCCGAGACTAGTTTCCTGGAAACAGGTTGAAAGAAGACCATCGTTCCTTCAGGACTCTCAGCATGACTAACTCCAGCGTAACCACCTGATATCTTGGAAGGTCGCTTCACCGTTATCTTACATAGCAACCAACCTACTTACCCATCCCTTGCAGGCCTGTCTCAAATCCAACCTCCTCAACATTCTCCACCTGACTCTCCACGTCACTATGCTCACTATATATGCTCATGTACTTTCTGCTCAGGTAGCTTTATTTATGACTTCATATAATCTATTGTGTAGGCGAAACACTCAATAAAGGATCGCAGTATATTGCATTTGTGTCTACTTTTTTCCAAATAAGGTCGCTCAGCTGGTCATTAAAGGAATGGACAACACACGTTGCAGATGGCTAGAAGCTCGGCTAATCTGTAAAGAAAATGCATTCCGAGAGAATCAAGAAGTTTTCAGTTTATCCAAATCTTGATCCAATTCATCTTACACAGACAGGTTACTGGAAGGACCAGTAGGCCTCCGGCTGTGCTCTCATCTCCCACTCTACCCACATTTTGATCTTATTGACCTGACCACTCACCTGACTACACTTGTATTAATTTACTGGTTGTATATCCCTGTGTGTTGGCTGAAGAAGCTTGTTCCACAGGTGTAATGATCCTTTCAAGTTCTTCTCTGCAATAATGTCTTGTTTCTCCTGCCCTGCTGATGTCTGCTCCTTCCTACTTTGCTGACTTCTTCTTCCTTCCTTGTTGATGTCTGCTTCTACCTTCCCTTGCTCATCCGTGCTCTTCCTTACCGTGTTACCATTTGCTGCTCCTCCGTAGCTTGTTGTCCCTACCACTACCATTCTATTCTGGCTCCAACTGCCCCCCTGCTTCCCCTTAGCCTGCTGCCCCAACCTCTTCTTATTCTTGTTGCACCCATCTCTTTCCTACCATGCTGTCCCTCTGCCTCTGTCTTCCTTGCACTTCCCGTCTCCCAAATTGCCTGCGAATGTGTCATTGTTGTTTCTGAGCTCATACTGTCCTGCCTGACGACTTCTGGACATTGCTGAGTGCTGAAGACCATCTGGCCCTCCCTCACTGACAGCTACTGGATTCTGTCTCTCTCTCCTTGCTTCGAGAGCCCTATCGTACCTATTCTTAGAGCTCAGCGAGGATCGTTTATCTATAACTTCGTTGTCTAGGTTATTCCGCGCTCTGATAACGCTGAAGCTGAAATATTAATATTTATATCTGACTTATAATAAATGATCTGTATGCAGGTCGTAATATGTATGTAAACATTCAACTAATTCTGTATAGTTTATGCGAACCCTAAACCTTCTTATGATATTTACCAACATCTGCTTAACAAAATGTCCAGGATGGCGAATATTTAAACATCAACAAGCAGTTTAAAGCATTTAATGTGTAAGACGAAGTAGTAACTGTACATTAGTCAGTAATAGTTCAAAAGCAGTGATCTACTCTAGATCTCAAGTGAACTGATTTTACAGAATATTTAAAATACCTTATTTGCAATTAATGGCCATTTTTGACTTTGTAAATCTGTGACATGAACATAAGAATAAGAACATAAATAACAAGTAATCCATATATTAACTACACCCTAAGTAACTTATCCATCCATGTAACAACAGTGAAAAATAGCAGCCTATGACTTGGCGCATGTGGGTAAACACGGAGCAGTAGTAAAGACCATCAAACATCCGACGGTGGACGTACAAAGGTCCGAATAGCTCAGTAAAGTCCCAGTTACACTGCTACACAGTATAACTTCCATATGTCCCGACTGTGGTAGAACAGCGCAGACAGTGTTGTGAGTCTAGCACAATGTTTTTCAATCTTTTTTTCAGTGATGGCACCCTCAAGCCACATATCTTATTCTGTGGCACCCCTACTCAATAATAATAATAATAATAATAATAATAATAATAATAATAATAATAATAATAATAATAATATAAACATACAAATGCATACAACACACATACGAAATACAAAAGATACAAGCCTGTTAGTGAAGTAATGCACAAGCATTATAGATCACAGTAAAATAAACAAAACAAAACTAACATATATTTTGTAACTTTTTTAGTTAGATATTTGGCCTTAGTGTGACTGACAGATCCTTTACCTTCATTTCTTCCTCGACCAACTGTACGCTTTCCAACTCACGCAGAGAAGATGTGGAAAATTGTGTGAGAATTACCAGAGCTTTTTCCTCGACCTGAGGATATTCATTCTTATTCTCTATATAGAATTCTTCCAGAGGCACTTATTTATGCTTTAATTTCAGTCTGCCAGCACTACGTACTTCAGTTAATTCCTGTTCTTCTGTGAGACTGAGCTTCGATACTGATGTAATAAATGTGCTTTTCAACCAGTCATAATCTTCCCTCCATAAATTTGGGAAATAGTACTGAATTTTTTCAGCACGCACTTCAAGATGCTCAAAAATCATTGGCATGATCTCTATAATCTTTGTTGCAGCAACATGTAGGAACATATCCTGATTGCCTTAATTCACTTTTGACAGCCCAATTTTTTAATTTATCTCATAGAACATTAATTTTGTTATTTTTTTCAGAGGCACCCCTGGAGCCTATCAGTGCCATACCAGGGTGATGCAGCACCCTTGAAAAACACTGCTCTAAGACAAGTTACTAAACAGTAAGGCGTGTAAACATAAATTAAAAACACCTAAATGCATCCAAATTATAATCTTTGTGAAGCACAGTCACAAGAGCACCAATATACACCCCAACACTGGAGAAAAAGAGTCCGGAGAAGATAGCAGCACATCCGTCCAGAATGAGTCAGGTTCCAATCCATGTTGAAGCATAGCAAGGACGCGTCCCCTTACTCCACACTCCAGGCGACCATTTAGAAGCTCCAAAAGAAACAGTGTATGTGGGTAAAACACCACAAAAGAAACGTCGCCCACCCACACTCAATAAACCCATAAATTATAACACTAAATTAAAGGTAATGAATCGTAGGAGTGAGACAGGTCAGGAGGTCATGCCTCCTACTGGCCGCTAGCCAATAAACGTGAACGTGAGCACTGAGTACTCAAGCAAGCAGGTGGATCACCCAAACTGCTGGCTTCCTACCAACTCACGCTCCTTACGTAACAACTGCGTCATAAGACAAACAGCAACCATAAAATGAAATATGATTTCTCTTGATGAAAACAATGAACATAAATTTTGTGATATAGATGAAAACAGTTTACTGTGCATACTATAAAATATACATAATAAGAAGAGAGAATAAACACAATACACATTTAAACAGATATGCTGATTTATTGGTAAAAATATATCGGTGTTCGCTTGTTAATTTGTAGGAATATCACAAACAACAAAGATTTCCCAACATCCATGACTTACCTGCAGTTTTGTACATCGTTGTCATGTCACCCCTGGTTCTTCTGTCCTCTTATGTCATCAGGATGAGCTTCCTCAGTCTCTCCTCAGAGCTCATGCCCTTTACATTAGGGATCAGTCCCCTTGCTAACCTGAGTACTAAGTACCTTGGATGTGTGTGTGTGTGTGTGTGTGTGTGTGCGCGTGCACTCTCCTGCGCGCGCGTGTGAATGGCGCAGCCGCCAGCTCACAAAATTTCAACTGGAATTTATTGCATAAATCCTCGTAATTTTTAAAAGGGCAAAAAACAAGAGGCCGTTAAATTTGATGATGTTTGCAACAGGCAGCAAATTCCATGATGAGTCATGGTAGTGATCACATGCAGGATGCTCCATGTTCCACTACCATGAGTCATGGTAGTGACCACATGCAGGATGCTCCATGTTCCACTACCATGAGTCATGGTAGTGACCACATGCAGGATGCTCCATGTTCCACTACCATGAGTCATGGTAGTGACCACATGCAGGATGCTCCATGTTCCACTACCATGAGTCATGGTAGTGATCACATGCAGGATGCTCCATGTGTCACTACCATGAGTCATGGTAGTGATCACATGCAGGATGCTCCATGTTCCACTACCATGAGTCATGGTAGTGACCACATGCAGGATGCTCCATGTTCCACTACCATGAGTCATGGTAGTGACCACATGCAGGATGCTCCATGTTCCACTACCATGAGTCATGGTAGTGACCACATGCAGGATGCTCCATGTTCCACTACCATGAGTCATGGTAGTGACCACATGCAGGATGCTCCATGTTCCACTACCATGAGTCATGGTAGTGACCACATGCAGGATGCTCCATGTTCCACTACCATGAGTCATGGTAGTGATCACATGCAGGATGCTCCATGTGTCACTACCATGAGTCATGGTAGTGATCACATGCAGGATGCTCCATGTTCCACTACCATGAGTCATGGTAGTGACCACATGCAGGATGCTCCATGTTCCACTACCATGAGTCATGGTAGTGATCACATGCAGGATGCTCCATGTGTCACTACCATGAGTCATGGTAGTGATCACATGCAGGATGCTCCATGTTCCACTACCATGAGTCATGGTAGTGACCACATGCAGGATGCTCCATGTGTCACTACCATGAGTCATGGTAGTGATCACATACAGGACGCTCCTTGTGTTACTTGAATCATGGTTCATGGAATACTGGGATAACTTTCTTCAATCGCGTAGCGACAGATATTATACAATATATATAAATGTATATATATATATATATATATATATATATATATATATATATATAATATATATATATATATATATATATTATATATATATATATATATTATATATATATAATTTAAAATTTAATGTCCTTTCTGAAATTTTCTTTTATACGTTTAAAGATATATTTTTTTAATTAATGTTAATGTAAAAATTTTTAATTTGGCACCAAAAGAATCTTAGAAAACTTACCTAACCTTATTATAACAAGAACAATTAATTTTAGCCTAACCCAACTAAATATATTTTAGATTTGTTTACAGTAATTTAATACTAAACAAACACAGTGAAATATATTTTTTTCGTTAGGTTCAGAATGATTTTGGCAAAATTATTGCATACACAAATTTTCACTTGTCCTGTATGGCAAGATAAACGTTGCTATTTAAGCCAAGATCGCAAGTTCTGCCTATTCGGCACGACATATATATATAATATATATATATATATATATATATATATATATATATATATATATATATATATATATATATATATATATATATATATATAATATATATAGTATATATATATATATATATATATATATATATATATATATATATATATATATATATATATATATATATATATGCGTGTGTGTGTGTGTGTGTGGACCCTCGCCTAACGATATTAATTCATTCCTGAGAACTCATCGTTAGCCGAAATTATCGTTAGCCGAATTAATTTTCCCAATAAGAAATAATGGAAATCCAATTAATCCGTTCCAGACAGCCAAAAGTATTAAAAAAAAAAATTCATGAAATATACATTCCCCTACAAAGAAAACAAAGAGTATGCAAAGAGACATGCACAATAACTACATAAATAAATTTATTGATGAGAGATGAGACACTGTTTTTCTTGAACACTGGGATTTTCAGAGTGATACATGAGTAAAGGCTTCACTTTGCAATCCCCACTAGCACTACAACATAACATGAGAGTTAGCCTGTCTTTCATAGGCTTGTGTCCGGGGAGTGCATTTTCCTCCTGAGTAATGTAGGTCCTGTTTTGCATTTTCTTCCAGAACAGACCTGTTTCGTCACAAGTGAGCACTTGTTGGGGTTGGAATTTTTCAGCTTCGCCATGCCTTATCACACTGTGAATGCCACTACAATTCTTAAATCTCTCAAACCAACCTTTGCTGGCCTAAAATTCACCAACATGTGCACTAGTTCCAGGCATTTTTTCCTGTTCACCTGGGTGTTAGTCGACTGTTGTTGGTCGCATCCTGGGGGACAAGATTAAGGACCCCAATGGAAATAAGTTAGACAGTCCTCGATGATGCACTGGCATTCTTGGGTTATCCTGCATGGCTAACCATCTGAGGTTAATTGTTTCTCGGTAGCTGTTTCCTGTTAAGCCACACCAACAACACATTCTCCACATCTTCGAGTAGTACAGGGCACCTGAGGCACTCAGGCTGGATGGACAGGTTCGGGACGAGTCATGTTGCTCAGTGTGGCATGCAAAGAGTATGTAACCTTTATTCGAGAACTTGGGAACTAAGGGTTGGCGATGGGGCTCCGTCGTTCAACCAGTACCCAGGTTCCTGCCAATGAGAAGATGGTTTTGGCAATCGCAGAGGTTATGTGGGTACCACTCTCCTGTCTGCCCTTGTCATTCCCATTCTAGAGCTGGTTGAAGCACAGTCTGCTCTCTAGTGGCTTCTATTCTGCCTTGCTTACCGTGGAGTGCACTAATACCTATTGTTGTACATAGTGTATATAGTGTACATACTTCTGTTCTAAATTGGTGAAGGATAATGTAAGTCAAAAGTTTTCTGCTGTGTCTATTTTGCTCCCTTTACACCCAGGATAACAGGCCTTTGGGACTCCTGGGCTGTAATAGTCAGAAACAGCTGACGGTGGTGCAGCAGCAGCTGACCATGGTGCAGCAGCAGCTGACGGTGGTTCAGCAACAGCTGGCTGTACTCGTTGGAACGCAGGAGGGAGAGATATATCATAATCTACACTTGGAAAATCCTGGAAGGAATGGTCCCAAATCTGCACACAGAAATCACTCCCTACGAAAGTAAAAGACTGGGCAGGCGATGCAAAATGCTCCCAATAAAAAGTAGGGGCGCCATTGGTACACTAAGGGAAAGCACCATAAGTGTCCTGGGCCCAAGACTGTTCAACAGCCTCCCATCAGGCATTAGGGGAATTGCCTATAAACCCCTGGCTGCCTTCAAGAGAGAGCTGGACAGATACCTAAAGTCAGTGCCTGATCAGCCGGGCTGTGGCTCGTACGTTAGACTGCGTGCGACCAGCAGTAACAGCCTAGTTGATCAGGCCCTGATCCATCTGGAGGCCTGGTCATGGACCGGGCCGCGGGGTCATTGATCCCTGGAATAACCTCCAGGTAACCTCCAGATGGTGCAGCACCAGCTGACCGTGGTGCAGCAACAGCTGACCGTGGTGCAGCAGCAGCTGACCGTGGTTCAGCAACAGCTGACTGTGGTGCAGCAGCAGCTGACCGTGGTGTAGCAACAGCTGAGGTGGTGCAGAAGCAGCTGACCATGGTGCAGCAGCAGCTGACCGTGGTTCAGCAACAGCTGACTGTGGTGCAGCAGCAGCTGACCGTGGTGTATCAACAGCTGACAGTGGTGCAGCAGCAGCTGACCGTGGTGCAGCAGCAGCTGACTGTGGTGCAGCAACAGCTGACGGTGGTGCAGCAACAGCTGACCGTGGTGTAGCAACAAATGACCGTGGTGCAGCAGCAGCTGACTGTGGTACGATAGTACGTATTTCTCACCCTTTTTACATATGATAGCTTGAGAGATGGTATCTCCACCAATAACAGTCTCTCAACATCTTCGAGTATTTGCGATCTCTGTTTCGAAAACAAACTTGCACCTTTTGCAAGAACAGCTTCCTAGATTGCCGTTTTGTTGGCCACAATAGTAGCGATGGTTGATTGGGGTTTGGTATAAAACCTGGCCAGCTCCGAGACACACACTCCACTTTCGTACCTAGCAATTATCTCTTTCTTCATTTCCATAGTAATTTTCACCCTTTTTTACCACAGGGCTGGCACTAAAAGCTTTCTTGGGGCCCATGGTGACTTATTTTGCAACTATGATCACTAAAAACACTGTGATAATATGAAATGTACCGAATGTATGCGTGGATGCGACCGCACTGGCTGGCTTGTAAACACTGGCACCCACGGGGCAGCTGAGGCGTGTGGGGCAGCTGAGACGAATCGCGTGAGGCGAGGCAAAATTTTTGCGTTAAAATGTATCGCATGGCAGATTTAAAGTAACGCGATGCCAACGTAAGGCGGGGGTGCACTTTGGTATATATATACATATATATACCAAAGACTAGATATCAGATTGGAGGGAGAGAGCATGGAGGAGGTGAATACATTCAGATATTTAGGAGTGGACGTGTCAGCAGATGGGTCTATGAAGGATGAGGTGAATCACAGAACTGAGGGGAAAAGAGTAAGTGGTGCACTTAGGAGTCTGTGGAGACGAAGAACTTTGTCCGTGGAAGCAAAGAGGGGAATGTATGAGAGTATAGTTGTACCCTCCAATCTGATATTCAATCTTCCATCACCTAATCTTTTTGTTATCCTCATAACCTTACTCTTTCCTGTATTCACCTTTAATTTTCTTCTTTTGCACACCCTTCCAAATTCATCCACCAATCTCTGCAACTTCTCTTCAGAATCTCCCAAGAGCACAGTGTCATCAGCAAAGAGCAGCT